CTTGTAGCACTCTACTAGTTGTGTCTTTCCAACCTGAGAAAGACACAAAGTCCTGACTTTCTGTCTGCTGTGTGTGAATAAATACTCATTCCATTCCAATACATTATTTCCAACACCATGGCCTCCTATCTTCTTTAATAACCTTTTAAATAAACCATGTTGAATGTCTTCTGAAAATCCAAATGCACTACATCTACCAGTTTCCTTTATCAACTCAAATTCTCAAAGAACTCTTGTAGATTTCACAGACATGATTTCCTTTTCACAAAGCCATGTTGACTTTGTTCGTGTTTAAGCTAATCTAAATGTCCTACTATTTCTTCCTTCACAATAATGGAGTCTAACATTTTCCCAGTAATGAAAGTTAAGGCTAATTGGACTGTAATTTTTTGCTTTCTGTCTCCCTCCTTTCTTAAACAGGGTCATCCCATTATCAGTTTTCCAACCTGCTGGAATCCTTCCCGAATCCAGGAAGTTCTGGAATATTTCAACTGATGCTTGCACGATCTTTGTAGTTACTTCCTTTTATGCCGTTGGATGCAAGCCATCTAGTCCTGATGACTAGTTTGTATCGATAGTCCCATTAGATGTCAAATACTTTCTCCCTTAGTTTTGGATAAGGCTGAAGGTAACAGGAAGTGATAAGAGGCTTTATAATGGGTTGTTATGTTAGTGGGATTATGCTGAGTCATTCAGGTCTGCTAAGAGTTAAAAGTGCAGGAAATCAGTAACTGCTGTCTCTACCAAATAAGGCATGCATTTGGACAAAACATTCAGGATTGCTCACATGCATAGATAATTCTAAATAAGGCATACACCTGTGTTTAAAGCAGTCCCAGAAACCCCTGATTGTTCAGCCGAACTTCGAAGACTCAAGCTGCAAGAGGTACCCTTCAACAGGTGTGGTGAAGACGAACAGAGTTTCAGCCTGGCTAGCTGCCAGCTCTGTCACGTAATAATGTTTGGGGTTGGTTACAGAAATCAGGGTAGTGAAAGACAGTGATTAAGATATCTTTAGTCATTAAGAGTGCGTTGTTGGAGTACTTAACAAATTAATTGCATTTTAAAGAGCTCTAAGTGTCTCTGCTGTATCATCATCTATGTGTACGCTGTCATCTCTCAGAGACAGGCAACAATAAAGGATGTTATAAGATCTTTCCTACCATTCATATGTTTGGGATGTTTATTGTGTCCTCCACTGTGAAGACAGATGTAAAATCTTTGTTTAAATTATCTGCCATTTCCCCGTTCTCCATTATTAATTCCCAAGTTGCATCCTCCATGCATCCCACATTGACTTTAGCTCCTCTCTAATTTTTTGTTTAACCATAGATGGTTTTTCTGTTTATTTGTATATTTCTAGCCAATTTCATAAGCAATTTTCTCCCTCTTTAGTAGATTTTTAGTCACCCATTGCTAGTTTCTGAAAAAAGTATCCAAACCTCTGGCCTACCACTAGCTTTTTGCCACTATGTATGCCTCAGCTTTGGATTTGGATACTCTCTTTGTTAACCACAGATAGTTCATACATTTCATTGAGTCTTTTTTTGACTGAAACAAATTTTTGTAAAGCTTAATGAAATATCTGCTTAAATGTTTTTCACTGCTCCATCCACTGACCTTCCCGTTTGTCTATTTTCCCAATCCCCTTCAGATAACTCTTTCTTCATTCCTCTGTAGCTGCCCTTATTTAAATTTGAAGACACTGGTTTTAGACAAGAGTTGTTTGCCCTCATCCTGAATTTGAAATCTATCATGTTGTGCTTGCTTCCCACTTGAGGATCCTTAACTGAGATCTCTTACTAATCTTAACTTGTGACAAAATACTACATCTAAAATAGCCTGTTCTCAGGTTGGTTCTGCAACATACTGTGCTAAGGAATAATTCTTGATTTACTCCACAAATTCATCGTCCATGTTACCTTTATCCATCTAATGTATCCTGTCATATGGCAGACTAAAGTCCCCCATGACAATTAAAGTGTCCTTGCACAGTTCAATTATTTCCCAAATTTGAGTTTTGTTCTACAATAAGCCAACTCTTTGGGAGTCTATAGATAACTCTCACTTGTGACTTTGTTCCCTTGCTATTCCTTATTTCCATCTAAACTGATTCCACATCTATTATATCACTACTCAACACTGCACCGATACGTTCCTTTACTAATGTTTCCCAACCCCCTTTACCTTTTTGCCTATCTTTCCAACATGTCACATACCGTTGTATTGAGTTCCCACTCTGCAACCACATCTCAATAATAGCTACCAAATCATATTCATTTATTTTTGTTGTCAACTTATCTATCTTGTTGCAGATAAAGATAAGGGTATGTTTTTCTGTCCTTTGACTTAGTATTCAGCTTTATCTGTGAAGAAGTGGTACATTATAATGGGAAATGAGATAGAAAAGTAGGGATATTTTGCAGCAGTTGTATAGAGTATCAATGAAACTGCATCTGGAGTTTTGGTGTCCTTATTTTATGATTAAAAAAGGTCATGCTTACATTAGCAGTTCAGAGAAGGCTGAGTTGACTGATCCCCGTGCTGACAGGATTTATCTTGAGGAAACGTTGTGCAGATTGAGTCTGTATCCTTTGGGGTTTGGAAGAACGAGAGGTGATTTTAATAAAAATATTAGCGGGGTATTGATGTGGCAGATGCTGAAAGTCTTTCCCCTTGCTCAAGGGACTAGTACCAAAGAGGTTGTAGTTCACGAATAAGAGGGTTTCCCATTTATGATTTTTTTTTCTGAGAGTTGAGAGTCTACGGAACTCTCTTCCCTTGACAGCAATGGAGACAGGATTAATGAATATTTTTAATGCACAGCAAAAGGAGGTCCTTCACTCACAAGGGAATCAAAAGGTAAAAGCAGAGGTAGGAAAATGGAGTTGAGACCACAAAGAGCCAGAATCTTATGAAATAGCTGACCAGGGCCCAAGACCCTAATGGCCTAATCCTGTACCCAACTCATGCTTAGATAACAAGGTGTAGAGCTGGATGAACACAGCAGGCCAAGCAGCATCAGAGGCGCAGGAAGGCTGATGTTTCGGGCCTAGACCCTTCTTCAGAAATGGGG